TCCCTGAACACAAGACCAAGTTGCGACAACGAGGTCAACCCACTTCTATAAGTCGAAAGGAGGCTGCGACTATACCCGAGGCCACAACATCTTGGTCTTCACATCTTCGAAATGAAAGATATTCCAACATGTCTGGTTTAGAGAAAGTTAAGGAGACTTTCACCTCGCATGAAAGCGGATGATGAAAAGATTCGTTGGTTCATCTAATCGCAAGACGACGGCCGATTCGCGTTTTTCTGCAGCCGTTTGGCTTTACTACGACGTTCATGTCGACGCCATCCAAGGGATATTATCAGCCCGTTTCCACCTGAAACGGGGAAGGATGTATCGTTGACTGCGCCAACATGAAAGTCGTTTGAAGCCAAACGTCTTCCGGTGAGACCAACCAACGAATCCTTTCGTACGAAATAAAAGTTTCCATTACCCCGTTAATCGAAACTCAGCAACTCTCCGTATTTTGTAGTGATGTTCATAGAATGGGCTAAAAACAAATCGAAAACAGACAGACTCGGCAACTAGAATCCCTTGTCGTGAGATTTGCTAATATTGCTATCAAGTTATATTAGTAAAATAATGAGTGAACACGAAGCACAACCGGACACAAGAATTATTGAGCTAACTGGAATTGATTAAAAAATCATGATATTGGGCTGAGTCCCTGAATTTGCTTATTATGCGTGCATGTAAAATGTGAGTGCTTTGTGGCTGTTCTCTCGGTTGTCATGGCTGCCTTACCCGGTCCGTAGGCTCTGACTACACTCGGATTGGTCTTGGGCCGTAGTGGTGCGCCAGGCTTTAGTTTGGCACTGGGAAACTGGCTCAAGTAAGTCATCATGGCCTTTTCGTCCACTCGAGGGTTGATCATCTCCTCAGGCCGGATCAACTGCGGCACATCGAGCCATTGCTCGGCGGCGTCCAAAGCCTCACGGGCGTTGCGCAGATTCTCACGTGGCTGCCATTGTAGCCAGTCGGGGCAGAGACCGGGCGCGCAGGCATCAACCAGAGCCCCGATGGCAATGCCGTCATTCCAGTCGGTTGTGAAATTCTTGACTGGCCTCTCAGTAAGTTTGTTGTTCAGCCAGGCTAGGAGGCGCTGTTTTGGAGTTGGCCCGTTGGCCTGAAGATTCACAAACAAAAAATCAGGGGCCAGTTCAGGAGAGGCTTGGTGTGAACATTGAAAAATCCTTATTGTCTACGACATTATTGTCGTTAGTGCTGGAAATTGGGAAAAAGGATCTTCCTCTGAATGAACATGCTGGGCCTTTCTGCTTGGGCAAAAGCTATGCGAATAAATGTTGGGTTTTAAGGAATCTCTTGGCTGACATTGTTGAGCTCACTTCCATTTCGAGTGAAAGTCTGTGAGGAGGAGATTCGAAGGTAAATCCGACAAAAAGACGACGGCGGATTCCTCTTTACCAGCTAGAACAATCTTATCGACGCTGTTCCAGAGGAAAATCGCTTCACTCAAGACAAAAACTTGCTAAGATTGCATCAGTAATATGCAGGACTTCATCAGAGCAGGCTATCATTCTTACAAATATATTCAACCTAACGAGACACCAAAGTGATACTAGATGACGGCTATCGAAAACTAGATTATTCGCAATGCACATGCCAACATGGTGCCGGTTAATAAAGAGGAAGTTGGTTTATAACTTCCAGTTTGATGAATAGATTTGAAGGTCGATCCCGAAATCTATAGTTTGGGGGTATGCATACGGCATTTAGTGATAATTCAATGATTTTTTTTATTCGCTAGCTTGAATATGGTTGTAAGAACGATAACCTGCTCTGATCAGTTCCGTTATATGATGGAGGAAAGCTAGACATGCCTACACTGGAATAGAAGCAAGTAGCTACGGGGGCAGTACCAACAAGAATGTTGCAGTAAAGCCAACCGACAGCTGGACAAAAGGAATCCGCCGTTGTCGTCTGGTGGGATCGACCTTTTAATTTCGTCGTCTCAAACTTTCACTCGAAATGGAAGAGAGCCCAAACCCTAAATAGGCTTCATGCGGGACAATTACTCACAGGTTTTTCTGAGAAATCTCCTATTAACTGGTACTTCCCGAACTGGTAAGAAAGAATCGCGGAATGGATTAAGGCCAAAATCTCCACAATTTCCTCTTCTGATTCAGACGTTTAAGTCTAAATTAGCAAACTAGACAGGCACCACATACCTCCGAAGATAGCTTAGTAAGGGAGAATGGTGAAAAAAACTGGGCATTCTGCTCCCTCTCGACTCGTTGCTGGCTAACAGGTCTGATGTGCAGCGTAGGAGGTGGTTCATAACGCAGAGGCGAGCGACCCTTTGGTTTCTGCGGTCGTGAGGTAGGTTGAGAGGTTTGGCAGTTTCGTCAAGCAGTGTCGATTCGGTGTAGGCATGCAGGAATAAAAAGCAAGCAAGTGAAGGGGCGGAATGTTTGATGCAATATAGGAAAGGTTGTGGCAGACCGATGGACACGGGTCGGGCAAAACAGTGGATTTGGTTGCATGCGGTAGTAAACAAAGGGCGACAAGTGCACAATGAAAGGTTAACAAAAACAAAATAAGGACAGCACAGCTTTAGGGGGACAGGAGTATAATAAGAAGGGCCATAATGAGGAAAAACGGTGAAAATATGTAAATACAGATTGACATTCGCGTCAATAGCCTGGGTCCCCCTCAGAGGAAAAATGTATTTATAGCATAATATGTTTGATGAATTGCCGTACAAAGTACAAGGAAAAGATTTTGTTTTCGAGTAATCTTATGATTTGCACTTTCGAACGAAGCTGTCTGGTAGAGTTCTTCGAAGTCCAATCATACTAGAAAACGACAGCGGATTCCTCTTGCCCAGCCATTGCTTAAATTT